CTATCCCCTTTGTAGAAGAGTTGTGGCAAAGTGCATTTTGTCTCAAAGTGCAGGAGGGAAAGAGCTCCTGTATGAGCAGGATCTCTACACCATTTAGAATGCTACAGCCCCTCTGCAAGTATGGTGGCAGTGGCACAGTGGCAAAGTCCACAGTCAGTCGCCATCATTTCCAGGTAGGGCTGGAAAAACTCCTGCCTGAAGCCCTGGAGAGCCACTGCCAATCAGTGTCAACAGTCTAGGATAAGATGGGCCAAGGGTCTGACTCAGTATGGGGCAACTTCCTATATTCCTGCATTGATTAGATTCAGTTATAGCATGCCTGAATAGGACTCCTGAAATTCGACAATGAGAACAGGCATTGGGGTCTCCAGATTCTGGAGATGGTGGAGAAGGAAGAGTCTGCCATTGGATGGAAAGTGTCCACTTTAAGTTGTTTTTTACTTGTTTCACAAGTTCTTGCCATTATATACACAGTAAACTCTCTCTGTGTGAGTGCATGCACCAATGCCTTGTTCATATTCCAAAAATGTGTTTTTCCTATTTTCAAAGTCTTTTTCCTATTAAAATCAAAACAACTATGACAAAAATAATATAACGTAATATAGATGCATAATATATAACATAAGAACAACATAAGAGAGATGCTTTCAAGCTTTTGAGTGTATAGATTTATGTTATTCATTCACAGTTTGCAGCCAAGCAACATGCTAAAAACAAACAGGGTCCATGTTATTTCTTCTTTAATAAGTTAGGCAGAGTTGTGAGTAATCTATTTTAATGCATCACCTGATTATGCAAGTCTCTTCTAATATCTTAGATTTGCCAATCCCATATGCAAAATCCCATGTCAGTTCCTGGCAGCCAAAGTAATATCTGTTTCCAAGGAGACGGAACTCTTTCTTTTCTCTGGGAACTTCTCTAAGGAATGAGATTCTAAGAGAAGGTATGAAGTAGTACTTTCCCTGCATTAAATGAAGCACAACATGCAAATACAACCATGGCATGAGTGTAAGGTTTGGACCAAACAATACAGCATTCTGTAGGTTATTTATCTCTAACTATGGTACAGAGTACTATGAATAAAAACATATCCACTAAAAGAAGAATGGGAATATTTTATCTGTGGGCCTATTCATAAGTTTTTCTTAGAAATGAGGTTTGGGCTTTACCCTGCCATGCTCAAACAGGATGCTGAAATTCCTTGCACTTCCTGCTCCTCTGTAATGCTACAACTGAAATACATTCCTTACTTAACAGAGTCTCTTAGGTAGGTCAAGTCTGTTCTGTGAGGACGTAAAGGCAGGTGTTTGCTCAGTGCTGATCCACAGCTGTGCAACTCCCTTCCCTCTGAGACATGCCAAGTCACAGCAGGAACATTTTCCAGCAGACATTTTTATCTGGGTTGGCTTTTAATATCTGGGTTAAGTCTCTATGGGGTAATTTTAATTCTGGTGTTTATCTTAGTGTTTCAATTGGTATTTTGTTTATGGGTCTTGTTGAATTTTTATGTGAGGTTAGTTTTCCACCCTCATCCCTTAGGATGGCACAAACCTAATGTCTAACTAATGCAATATATTTATATCTTTGTTTATTTATTTTAAATTTATGAACTGTTTTTCCACTGATGTATTCAGCATAATGTTCAAAATTTTAAAAGTCACATTTCAAAAGTCACATTTCAAAACAGCACCAAAATGATTAAACTACAAGTAAATCACACAAAGCAACAATATATAGGTAAACAGGAAAACCCGCCAAAACAGAGCCAAGGAAGTGCATCTCTCAAAGCTAATCTCCCCTCAAAAAAAAACAAAAAACAAAAAAACAAAACAAAAAAACCTGTTGCCATAAAAAAAGGCTTGAAGTGGTCACAAGAACCTTTATGAGAAAGGAGTTCTACATTTTTGCAGCTGACAGTGTAAAGTCCTATATCATTGCTGACAAGGACTCAACCATGCATGGGGAAGGAAAGAGAGGAGCACAAGAACCCCAAAGACAATTAGACAAGCCCCTCAAGATCTCCCAAGGTTTTCTTTGCCCAACTTCAGTGATAAACACTTTCAGATTCACTAAGTCTGTCTACAGCTTCTCAAAGAGCTGGTCTCTTACCGGACTGACAGGTCTTAATTCTCATAGATTCTTAAATTCAGTCAGTGAGTCTATGATGGAAGGAAAAATGTCCGACAATCTGTGAAACACAGATGAAGGTAACTAACAAAATTTACACTTCTTTAGAGAGGAGATTCCTTTATCCAGGAACGCTCTGTTGTGATGAACATCACAAGCACCTTAAAATACTTTGCATTACAACAAACATAGCTCACAACATCATCATGTTGATTTTGAGGTATGTTGAATTTTGTTAGACCTTTCTGTCTGTGTTCCATGAATCATCAGGTATCTCTCCCTTCATAATCCACTCATAGATGGAATTGGATTTTTATGGAATGTGTGGAATATTTTGTTCCTCTTTCATTAGAGAACATTAGTGCAAGTGCAAAGTGGTACACCCCAATTTTTAAAAAGTCTTCAAGTTCAAGAAAAGTCCTAAGTTTCATAATCAGGAAAAAAAGTGGCCCAGTGCAAAATTTGTAGGTTGGATTCATAGAAACCTGAACTCATATGTGGATATAAGATGGAGGAGGAGAATGATGTAAGCTGCCTTGAGTCCTTTGTAGGAAAAAGGCAGGATATAAATCGAAAAATTAAATTAAATTAAATCTTAGAAAAAGAGAAAAAGAATGAGAAGAAATCACTCCCTCTTTGCTTTCTCAGATACAAGAATGGGGTGAGGTGCTTATTTACATCTCCATCAGAGTACACTGAATTACACTGTTAGACTGTGATTGGATACTCACTTCCCTGGGAGTGTGCACCATTGAATTTAAAAAAAAATCAAGAGATTTGCTGTTAAGTAAACTTGGATAGAATGGCGCTGCTAATTGCATGGATGCGCTGAAAACAGAGCACTGGACAATAACCATCAATGGTAGCCATTGATAAAAAAATGTAGACACATTATTCAAAATGTTGGAATTTAATTTTTATTTGGATTTTTTTCTTATCCCCCACAGAAATTTGTTATAGAGCTGGTATGCAGATGTTGGTAAATAAAACAAACTAATTAAATAGCATATTTTATTGGATTCATAATACTCTGAATCACTGTTCACATTTCTGCCCACAAAAGCATTTCATTTATGTATAAAATTTTTTTTAAGTGATTGTGGGGTAGAAGATGGGGATAACAAGCATGGGTGTTGTGTCTAGGAAACACAAGCAAGCAAAACAATCTAATCACCACTTGTTTTTCAAGTATTAAATATCTACTTTTCCCTCTCTCTCAGCAGGATGCTGCAAAAGTATATTATTTTTTCCAGTTGATTTCCTCCTTTTGAAGTCATCCTTTGATTGTTTGACAGCTTTATCAGAGCTGTCATAGAAATAGCAGACATTGATGTGTAATATATTGGACAGTGGGTGTGTGTTTTGGGAATGATGAATTAAGATCTAATTTTTATGTTAAAAGACTCTAATGGGCAATTTTATGCAACTGCACTCCTAGGTATTATGGGTAATACGTTCATGACAGTCAAGTTGGTGTATTAAAATACCAATAGATGGCAGTTAGGGTCTTTCCTACTTTGTTTACTGAAACTAAATGACTAGACTGAACTTGAGATGCCTATGCAGCTGCTAATCAGTATGATCACAGAGAGATGGTAATGAAGCCATGGACATCAAACCACATGTATGGGCAAATGTTAAATACAGGTTGACAAATGTGTGTGTGTGTGTGGTTCATCCACACTTCATTTTGAAGCAGATTTTTATTACAATGTTTTCATTTGTTTTCGTGGATGTGGCCTCGTCTATTTGTACAATGGCCCAATAAACACCCCTCTGCAGTATAGTTGGTGCTGCAGTTATTCCCCCATGGTCAGCTCCCACTTTGCATCCTTTCCACAGACTGTAGTGGAAAGGAAAGGAAAGGAAAGGAAAGGAAAGGAAAGGAAAGGAAAGGCTTTTTCTCCTGTTAAAAAATGATGAGCATGCCTCCTATCATGGAAACCAGGCAGGATAGGGACAGAAAAAACTAAACTATTATGCTTGAATTACATTTTTAGAAGTGTGTTGGACTTAACTCAGACCTCATTACACATTCAAGAATTAAACCTCCAAATTCTACTTATGAATGGAATAATTCTGAATTTCGCCTACACTGCTATTAGGAATTAGAAATCTCAGATGAATGCACAAATTTGGGATTGTGTTCATAGGCATGCCAACCCCATTTCATATCAGTGAGCTATGTGAGGACATATGAGGAATTCATTTCAGTTTGTTTTTGACCAAGATGTATTAAGTTTGCATCTTCCAGAACTAAACATGGACCTGAATGCGATTTATGGAAGTCCATACATTTCCAAGTTTGCAATGCAAATTGCAGAATGATAAGAAAATGTGTTTAAAATGTGAAGATTTAGCAAATGCACATGAAATATCAGCATTTCTTTGATAAATGAGTGCATAAACATATAATGAGAAAATATGTACATTTCACAAATTTATTTATTAAAAGCTTTTGTATGCCATCCTATTATACAAAATCTCACAATATTTACAATATTTACAATATTTAAAGGAACAATTAAAACAACAATTTCTAATAAATAATAGAAACAGAACAAAACAATAAATCACCAAGCAAACAGAGCAACTGAAGGTTAAAAGTTGTTAAATTTTAAAATACTGTTTAAATAAAAAGGTTTTATTATATGCATACAATTGGTGCATAACTTTGGAAAAATGCTCATGAAAATATGATTTTGTGTGAAACGAATCAACAAAGTTCACAATCTCAGACAATCACAAGAGAGAACAAGCTTCAAAATAAAATTTGGAGAACCTCAATGATTTTCTGATTTGCCCATCCCTGGAACGAGTCCTGGCAATGGTACCAAGCACTCCTGTCTTATACCTCTTTTGCTTTTCCTCAGAACACTCGTTCGGGATATAACAAGCAAATAGTTACCCAAGGAGAACAGTAGCTGCCAAATGACACAGCAAGTATGATGCACCTGGAATCTGAACATGTGCCAAAATCCACTCGATGTGTTTTCATGAAATATTTAGCACACATTTTGGCAAAACTGTATCCAGATGAGTTTGTTAAAAATCTTATTCAGATGTGACCTAAATGGCCAGTCTTCAACTAAATGTAGCTGCAGTATACCTCTGTAACTACTAGCTACACAAGCCATAATGACTGGATTTCAACAGGTAAGAAACATCTTTGGCCCCTAAGCGGCTAGTGTGCACACTGATTGTCTTGTGTAGGGTGAGGGTTATACTCTACATGTTCTGCTTCAACTAACTGAGCAACAACTGACGGTGGGAGGTGCATTTGTACAAATGCATATTCTGTCAGAGAGCAGATGATGGAACAAAAGGTGTCTGGAAATCCATACAACATAGATGAGGATTTAAAATTTGTAGCAGGATTGGTTAAGTTTGGCCAAACGTCAAGCTTCTTGGATGGGCTTGCTGTTCAGAAGTTAGTTATGATATGTCCAAGTCACCCCATACTCATACACACAAGCATGTTTATTTTCCATCTGTCTACATTTGTTCAGCAAAGTTGTTGCATACATACTGTGGTCTTGAGGAAGGTAGAAGACTTCCCCAGACCTCTGTGTGAATGGATGAAACCAGGCAGTTCTTCTGGAAATTTCAGAAGAAATTAAAACAAAATTATGCCATTTTAATGAAGGAATAAAAACTCTGGAAGGACAGCTTCTTGAGACTAAGTAAGGGATTATGAGCATGTGATGGGTAGGGAACTTCAAGCTGAGAACCTTAAATGCAGCCCTTTTGGGATCCAAGTCTGACCTTCCAGGGTTTTCTCAGATGGCTATGTCCCCTTTCTCTGGCCCATCCTTTCTCCCCCAACCATAAAGTATTTGGTGTTGTCCGGATTTTCACCATGTTTCTCCCTTCCTAAAAAGTCATTGTGCCTCAGTTACTGGCAGCAAGAGAATATACTGGTGTTTTTTGAATTTTGTTTCCATCCATATTGCCTTTGGTGCTGCCCCTCTTTGCTTTCAGCCTCACCCAACAGTGGAATGTGATTTGAAAGACCTTCTCAAAAATTCAATTGGATCCTCAGACTAAGAGGGATTTCCCTTCTCCTGGTGTACACCAATAGCTACAGCCAGCCCAGTCCTATGGATATCTGCCTTCAGATGCAAAAGCCAAGCAAACTTTTTCATAGTGAACTGTGAGTATTTACTTAGGGAAGTACTTAGGGAAGGAGACACCCACTTAGGGAATGAGACACCCACTGCAAGGAATAAACATTGTGAAAAGGCAAAGCTCGTGTTATGAACATCTTGTTTGAGGTCCTCTGATATCCATGCAACAGGAGGAGCCAGAATATGGGTGTCACTGTCATATAGACAGGAAAATACACTCCCTTCATCCACAAAGGTTTTGACAACTTTATTTTAAAAACCCTTCTCTAGTTATTTCAGTTTTTTCTTCATTGGCTAGAAAACCTTTTCTGTCCATCTTGCTTGGCTAAGTTGTCAAAGCCAGAAAGGGGTTGCAGAAGATTCAGATGGAGTCCTCACGGCAGATGATTGCTGTTCTTACAAAAAGCAGGTAGCTTTTTACTACTAAAAATAAATTTACTTATTTATTATTGAAAATATTACTTAGATGCCTCTCACGGCAGGATCTCTGTCAAGGTGGCATACAATAATAAAAACTAATGCAGTCTGAAAAGAGCCCAGTAAAAACAATGAAAGCAGCAAGCAAATGTAAAAAAATAAATGTCAGCATAGAATAAAACTAACAATTGCAGCTACAACTCTTCTCAATAACATATGAAGTACTATGTTTCTAAAATACCTTCAGTGGTAGAGCCTAGTTAACTCCTGTTAGCAACTTGAGTACTGTGGGGTCACTACAGAAAAGGCTCTATTTTGTATGGTGACACACTTAACTACAATCATGGGTGGGCAAAATAGAAGGTTACTTACCTAGATGTAACATACTGTTGCTTGGGGCAATTCAGAAACCCAGGTAACATTGAGCTAACTGCATTCTAAAATGGCATGAAGAAAAGAATCATAGAATCATAGAATAGTAGAGTTGAAAGGGGCCATAAAGACTATCAGGTCCAACCCTCTGTTGTTACAGGACCTCAGTTTACACCATCCCACTCTGATGGCTGTCCAGTTTCTTTTTTAGTGTCTCTAATGTGGGAAAGCCCACCACCTCTCTAGGCATCTGGTTCCATTGTCATATAGGTCTGACAGTGAGGAAACATTTCCTGATAGCCTGAATCTGGGTTGTTGAAATTGGACTTGATTATTCCGTGTTCTGCATTCTGGTATCAGCGAGAAGAGATCTTGACCTTCCTCTTTGTGACAGTCTTCAAGGTATGTATAGAGGGATAACATGTCCCCACTCAGTCTTCTCTTCTCAAGGTTGAACATGCCCAGTTCTCTCAGTCTCTCTTCATAGGGCAGCATTATCAAACCCTGCATCATTTTTGTTGCCCTCCTTTGGACACTTTCTAATCTTAAAAATGTGCACTGTTACTGAAATCCTTCCAGCCACAACATCCAGGGAAGTTCAGAAAGACTTCTTATATTTTAATTCTTGCAAATACTTTTTGCCATTTTTAGATTTTTTCTTCTTCTTTGTATTTGTAAATGCCATGTAAATTCTGATTTCCTTAAAATAACTTCACCACCCTGTACTTTGGGAGTTTCATCACTGCCCACACCTAATTGCTCTGGTGCACCTGTAGCAGTCTTAATTAATACTTCAGTTCACACAAAGCACATCAGAGTCATAATTTGGTTGCGAAATTGCCCTACCTTTAAACAAACGGTGTGATTTGTCTAATGGTGGAAAAAATTATATCAATGGGATCCCCTCAAATCCTTTACCTGAAATGTGTCTGTTCCTTGGAAGCAACAGAACTATCCTATATTTTTGTACTAGCTTTGGCTGTAGGATGTTATGGGGTTAAGTCATTGTATATTTGTGCATGCACACACAAGTGTGCTACTCATTTTTGGCCAAAAGGCTAATCGTTTAGAGGTGAAAAGTTAATTAGAACTTAGAAGTCAAGAAGTTGTGCTTAGAGGGGAAGGAGATTACAAAGTTCAACATAAGATCAGGGGTAGAGAGAGAACTGTCTTAACTCAGGGGACAGAAACTTAGGCCAGTACCACCATGTCTGTGTGCCAGTTGGAACCAATACAAGTGCTACAGCGAAATCATGGTTGTTAAAGTAGAAATGCATTAAGGTAAGTCAGCAGAGCTTCCTGTCCTGATCTAGAAATAAGAATTTCTGCTTCTTTCTGTAGTTCCTTTAAGTTCCTGTTGGGCTGACAGTGGGAATTGGATACTACCATTGGATACTGCCCTTGGTCTGCAGAAATGACCAGTAACTCCTAATGGAAAGAAAACAGTACTGCTAGAAGATATAAGTAAACACAAAAGGACAGAGAAAGAAGAAGAAAGAAATGAAGCCCAGAGTTTAGAGCAGAGAAATTATGTGAGCTGCTGGAACTGGAGAACCGGTTGAGAAAGCTGGACCAGTTACTGTAATACAATAAGATATTGCTTGGCTAAGGACTTGAACAAAACAGGGATACAGACTAGTTAGATTAGATGGATGGTTTTCCCATCCAAAACTGGTGTGGACAAAACTTCATGGAATAAGCACAGAGAGTAAGTGTAACATTTTCAACAGTGTGGTTAGTCAATTACAGTTGTATGTAGCTTACAGCAAAAAAGCAATATTTATTAGCGCTTGAAGCCACCCACCTAGAAGCAAGCTGTGTGGGGGTAATCCACAGGAGTGTAGTGTTCAGTTCCCCTTTCCAGAAACACTTTCTTCTCTTTAAACAGAAATCCAAACTCTACTGTACTGGGTCAGATTCACATTAAGAGAGTTATGTTCTGCTGTTTCTCCTGAACATATTAAATTAATTGATCAAACTGAATAAATGCCATGCTTAGGTTCTGTATTAGCTACCAGGATGCACAGACCAGGAAAGCTTCAGCCTTCTTCACTATGGAGTACTGGACCAGTGCAATCAGTTGGTGAGACACAACATCATATTTCCTCTTGTCCAACTGAATTTTCCCTTCCCTTGGGCAGCCATGAGCTGATTCTGGGGCATGTGGTTATCTGCAGGGAAAGATAGAATCCATTCAGTTAATGTCAGAATGACATGATTGGATGCAACCCAACAAGTGTGAAAAAGAGATAGAATGGAGCTGAATGAGAATGTAGGGGGTGTGCTGATGAAGCTTTGCTTTTCCTTTGTCATCTGTGTGTCTGAATTTGTCCTTTTCCCCGACTATTTTATTTCATATGTTTCATTTCAAACCTTAAGCTGTGGAACTAGAACTGTGGGGAGCATAGAAATCTTAAGCATGTTATGAAAAATGACTGTTGTCATTATATTTCAACATTTTCAGTTCGAGATTAAATTGAAACCTTTTCAGTATGAGATTATATTTAAACATTTTCAATAAATGATTTTGAAGTCATTCCTCTAAGTATGTTTATGACTGTGTTCTGAGCAAACTTTTTCATAAGACTACATTTTACTGAAAGGGACTGCAGCTCTCAAACAAAGCCGTGCATAGAGATATAACTTTCTGAAATATTTTTAGACATAAGAAAAATGTGTCACCATTTCTCTTTCAAAGGAAACTATTTCAGACAATGTGGCAGTTTGGAAAGCACGGTACTGTGTAAGACAAGACATATGGAATTCCTCCCTGGTGTAAGAATGCCATTAATAGCAAAAGGATTATTAGCAGAGGAAGTCAGAACTTTTGTCCACTTCTATGCTGTGTTTCTTGCCATCCCATAATATTTCAGGTGAGTGAACTTTAAAAGCTTTAAAGTAACTTTAAAAGAATTCCAGGTTATAGGGAATTGTATATGTTTGAGTACTTTGCACATGAACTGTAATCTATGTTTTTCCTCAGAGGTTATTTTTTCCAGGAAATCTTACAGCACAATCATTATCAAGATTTAGTCTAAGAGAATTTTCCCTCCTTTTTGTCAGTTAAACTGTTTCACACATATCTGAAAGCTTGGTGGAATTATTTTCATCCATTGAAAAATTTCTGTAGATATGCCTTGTCTTTAATCAGTGCAGTTGTTCTTTTACAATCATTGATTTTCTTTTTAAAGCCTATTTACTATGTGGTGAGCATGAAGCTTTAAAAAGATTCTTTTTAGTTTGCTTCGTTTGTGATGATTTGTTAGTTCTTGACTGCAGAAAAAACTTTGTTGTTTACATTAATCTATTGTGGCAGTATTAACTTCAAATCATACATAAATATAATTATTGATCATTAGCAGTTGTAATTCAGTGTTAGAATTACAGATTTGCATAATTGTGCTATTATGTGTAAACTTGAACTTCATATATGGGGGTCACAAATAACTGGAGGCAGTAGGAAGCAGAAATCTCTGATAATATATGTCATTCATATTTTAACACGCTGTTGCAATTTTGAACTGTGGTAATGTAAATATTTCTATGTTCCACAGAGCAATGAGATGTTAATGGCTAGAAATTACGACCATATTGATCTAGCTAATAAAACAGAATGCATTAGTACAAGATAATATTTATTATCTGCTTCAAAAATTACTGTACATCATCCACTTGAAATACTTTTCTTCAAGCATAGGAAAGCAATGCTTGCTGGATGTGGTAGATGTTCCTCCCACAGGCAAGCCCTTGACTGCTAAAGATTCACACTAGAAAAATCAAAGACAAGGTGCTTGGTTAACTAGAGAAAGGGTCCACTGCACTCTGCCTCCAGTGAGCCAGAATTGGCATCTCTAGCTTTTTGCTGAGTCTTTGCTGAAGGACTCTCTCTGAAGTTCTGGGTGGTTCTCTAAGTTAGTTTGCCAGCTAGCATTTACAGGTGCTCAACACTGTATTGCAGAGGGCCTTTTTAAAAAGTTTCAAGAAGGAGATATGACCACTTGGCTCCTAAAGTTATAAGTGAAAGTGTTGTGAGGATTGACTCATTCACTCAGAGCCAACTGGGACACTTACAGTAAGTTTGCTGAATGAAGGGTTCTGTAGGGCACTGCATTGTACAGGGCCACGTGATTCGTCATGATTTGGGACCTATCAGCCCTGTGAACTCAAGCATCTCCTCCTACCAGCGCACCCTGCCCTATATTGAGTCAGTCCATTACTCCATCTAGCTCAGTATTGTCAACACTGACTGGCAACAGCTTTATTTAGGCAGGATTTTTCTCTAGTGCTACCTGGAGAGGCCAGCACTTGAACTTAGAGCCCTTTGCAAGCAGACTTTATGTTCGGCCTCTCCGCTATGGTCTGTCCCCATATAATGCCTCAGCAGAAGTCCTACTGTCAAATCCCTGGAAGCTGTAGCCCTGCTTTCCTTGGTAATGCTCCCAGTTCACTTGGTCTCTGTTTAAGCGAGCAGCAACAGGGACAAGACGGAATAAGCAGCCTCTTCCTTCCTCCTTCTAGAACCTAAGCAGTTCCTTCAAAGTATACAATAACTATACTTTTTTTCCTTTTGTAACTCTAAAGTAGGCACAATGACTCAGCCCAGAATGGGAAACTAGAAATCACTAACCCTTTCTCATGTTGTGGTACAGTTGAAAGTGGAGGCCCTACAATTGTAATTTGTATTGCTCAGGAAGGGATCCATTAACAAATTTTGCAGAATGACCAGATGAATCAAGAGCAACTGGTTCTGTTCTGACTTTAATACTTGTGAATGAGAACAGCAAGGCAGACTTTAGTTTCCACAGAATATTCATCCAGGCTGAGAGATTCCCTCTTCAGAACAAGCACAATCATGATTTAATTTATAGCCCTAATTTTATATAAGTGTATTTCCTGGTATCCTGGAGTATTTCTAGTTCATACCTAATCTTGCTTTCATGTCAAATCATTCCAGTGGTTGATTAATGACATTTACAGTACACTTTTTAATTTCTGATGTTCCATAAGACAACTGTTGCTGCTCCTGAATAAACTTTATTATTCCCCGCTGTCCGTTCTTGCAATCATAAACCACATAAATGTGTTCCTTTTGAAAAGCAAGATGGGATGATTTATGGCAATCAGACTACATATTCATGTGCAGTGTCCATAACAACTAAGTCAACCTCTTTAATTAGGCTGAATGACCTTGGGCAGAATAGAAACTGTCCACACAATTTCTTACAAATGGATGAGCAAATCAAGATGCTTGCCTTCCATTAGGGCACATAAAATTATGCTCCAAAAGCTGTTTGCCCTTTGGAGTACAGATACGTAAGTATATTTTCTACCATGGTATTACCTCTAGCAATCCTGATTTGTGCTGAGCTCTATAGACATGTGCAGATGATTGGGGGGGGGGGGCAATGAAGACCTTGAAGGTTGCTTTCACACTTCATTCTTTGCTTTATTAGTTATTTCTGCTATATTTATTGGTATTTACTTCTGTTATAATAAAATATGGGTACTTCAGTCAAGGATCCAGCCTACTGGGCCCTGAACTCAGGAAGCTCACAAAGCATTATAAATACATCACAGAAAGATGCTTGCTGAATAAAACCATGAAATAATTATTACTTCATCAGGTTACGATCAATCTTAGCCTGTAAGCAGACTCTTTTAGGCTGCATTCAGATGATAACATTTTAGAGACTTGGAGGTGATTCAGGTTTTGCAGTTTTTCTGAAACCTATTTGACTAGAGATGATAATAGAACAGAAAAAGATGAAATGTGTCTGCCTGGGGGCAATGATTTCATTTTGTCAACGTGTCCTTAAATCTATTTCTCCAGGAGTGGGTGGAGGGATATGTTTTCTAGAAGGGCAAGTATTCATATTGCATGTGCTTCTTATGGACGGATTTTGGGTTTATCTGAGAGCTCACTTCTGTGCTTATGTTTTATCATAACATCTCAAGCTAGCCAAGGTATTCTTAATACCATCCGATGAGTCAATTTCTTCTCTGCTCAAATGCAAACTTAGATATCCTTCACTCTGGAGATAGTGTTGCTTAACATCACCTTTTCTACATTCTTTGCAGATTATTTGTCTCATGAAGAGATGAGCTGGGACCAAGGAACCACTCTGTCACATTTGCCATTTCTGCATTCTGGGTTTCCACATGCTTTAAACATGCATCTAAGCTAGGACCACACAGATCAGACAGAATACAGAGCCTTCTGTGAAGCTTTTGGAGTTGGCATGAAACGTAATCACTTCATCCACTTGACCAATATGACCCCTACTGCTGTAGCATTAGAACCCTGACCACATGGAAACAAGCACCACAGCACAGTGGCTTTTATGTATCAGTCCATGTAAAGTTCAATTGGTGTGGGTGGAATCATAAAATAAAAATGAAATAAAAATACTAATTAGCTCATATAGACATAAAAGCAACTTTGCCACCAAGGACCTAATAAACCAAATTATTTCCAATACAGCATTCAAATTCTGGTGATTTTCTAGCCCAAATCTGCAACGTACAGTTAATTATAATTTTGTTTTCATGTCCCTTCCTTATTTTATATTCACATTCTTTCATATGAACAGGATAATTTTAGCCCAGTTGAATTAGTAACATTACCAACCTGACAAGAATGCCTTAGGATCAAAATGTCTTGGATGGGATGAGCTATATAATAGTGCCTATAAATAACTTTTCCATCTGCCGTTCACAGATGGGTATAACAAGTTCTCATAGTATATGACCTCTCCACATTTATACACACTGGAGGTGACAAAATCATGCGATAATGTAATCTGAGCCACTTGGGAGGCTGTAGCAATAGGCCAGTTGGAAAGCAGAGTTAATGCAAAATATGGCTGTTCATCTAACAACAGAAAACTTTATAAAATGATCAAATAATGTTAACAATTGAGAGACCAGCATCAGTAAAGATCAAATGAGAGAAGGCACCTGACTAAAAATAGAGCAAATGCAGTAAGTAACTCTGCTTTAGAGATGCATGTGCACCAGATCTATTCATGTATAACAATCCATTCTACCACATACCCCATTTGGGCCCACAGACTCTGCTAGTAAATAGGCAACCTACTGAGAAAAGGAGCAGTCAAAATAAAATGAAAAATGTCCAGCATCATGGTATTACCTCGTGATAATTTGGGTGTATATTCCTAATGCGTTTTAATGTTGCTCCAAGCATTTGTCAATAATGCTTTGAATGTCAAGGAAAAAATACAATTTTTAAAATGTCTAATGCCTAGATATATTCAATCAGAAGATCACCTACACCTATTATATTCTATAGCCACCAGCACAGAAGATTTAAAAGGGGAATTATACATATTGACAGAGGATGATATGAAACCGCCAAGCCCCCATCCACATCTTCATCCCCACCTGTCTTCAGTTTTACCTAAAGTAGTAAACTATTTGAGCCCCAGAGGCACAGAGAGAGGAAGGAAGGAACTAACTTACCCACTTCCCTCCTCAGAAACTACATTTCCCAGGGGCTACTTGCAGCTCCCATCCTTCCTTATCCCCAAATGTGCTGTCACTGAAGTATTTCCAGATGGGCTGGAGAAATAGAAGGAGAAGCTAGGTTGGGTGGATTAGGTCAGGGAGGGAGGGAGGGAAGGGTTGTGGGGCTGAACAGATGAGAGAATTGAAGCAGAATTAAAAACTAGGCCAGAGAAGAATTCAGGTGTTACAATATATTTCAGATGATGATGATGATTGAAAACTCGCTGCAACATATAGGACGGAGCCCTGAAGTACACATTTAGAGGCTTCTCTGCTATTCTCTCACTTAACAGGAATATAATGACCAATGTTATAACATTTAGAGGTCTGTACTGGACTATTTCACTGAGAAATACCATATGCAATCTGAATTTTTAAAAAATCCTCTTCCGCTGCAGTTGTGCCAGAAGAAAGAGCTCTTACCCTGATTTGGAACCTGTGGAAAATTGTAAAGTTAAAAACTGTATGTTGGAGATCACACTTGATCCACATTTCAGGAGGAAAACATGAAAACTGTCCTCCCCAGGGTGCCAACAGATAATACAAAAGATGTTCACACAAGCAAAATGCTGCAGGTCTGTCTTCTTGTTCGCTCTATCTACGGAATGAATTTTTAAAAATCTAGAACTATGTGTATGCCTAAAAGTTGCCCATCAAGCTAAACTGAAAGCCAACACCCAAGCTTCTGCAGATAGATGAAGATATATTGGTTTACTTTAGTCATGCATCCAAGTCACAATTTTAAAACCTTGTGAAATATTTCAAATTATCACAACTCAAAAACAAAAATCCTGCACATGAAACATAGTTGTACATGTTGACCAAATGACTGGTGTCAGTGCTATTGCACTCAGTGCAATATACTGTTCATCATGGAGGTCAGATAATACATATAAGAAATGACCAAGTTATATGTGTTGTCTTCCATGTGAGATGAGTACAGAATGTGCATAATGAATTGCCACAAGGATCCCAAGGTTATGCACATCAGTGCTTCTATTACATATCTACACTTACTGGATACACCAGGCCTAGCCTTTGTTTGTTTGTTTTTATTAATGATGGAATAAGGAAAGAGAACAATGAAGAACAGATTCACACAGTCAGCCATGTGTTGGCTGTTTAGAATCCAAGCTGCATGAAGGCTGCTAAACATGAAGAGTTGTTAATGTAAACCTGCATGAGTCAAGAGAAAGTCCAGCACTCGCATATGGATTTCACCATGCCCCCACACAAACTGCCAAAAGCAATAATTTGCAGTTGGCAGATTCTTGTGACGATCGGCTGCATTGGAAGAGCTCACATTGTGGAGCATTCTCCATATAGTATGGATTTAGCCTAAATCAGAAGATCTTTTAAAATGATGCACCAAGACTACTGTGGTGGTCCATGTTCCATTTTTCAGGTGTGAACTGAAGTTCAAACCACTTTATGAACTCTAACTACTTATTTTTGCCAGAATGAAATCAATAGGTACAAAATGCAGCAATGTACATAAGACACTTAGCAAACTACATAGAATGGTATTTTTGTATTTTGTACAGAAAAAACCCTTTACAATTTAGACAAATAATCAGCATGTCCCAAACATAATAACACTTTGAAAATGTGAGTGCAAATCACATGTTAACCCCCAGCAGATTCAAACTGTCTTTTCCCCCCTTTTTGCTATTCTTTCTACTCTTTCCCCTCTTTATTCATTTTTAATTTACTGAATGCTATGAATATTACATCTAATAAACATTTCACTGCATATGAACTGCTGTTATCTCATGATATCATTCCAAGCCCTTGCATATGTTGGGAGAAATTAATGGAATGCCCTGATCCCTTATGCTTAACAATAACATTATAAATTAATCCTGCTGTGAGGATAATTCCTTCTCCCCATCTTCCTCATTTTTTGTTCTTATTCTTTTTTTTCTTCCTCTTTTACAACATGCATGTGCATTTATGAGGGTCCACTAGCCACCAATGGTTTATTTATGTCCGTGTGTGCTAAAAATGACACTCATGCATCCTAAGTGTGTTCCTCCCCCTCCCTGCCTGGCCTTTGGCTATTTGGTCTTGCTCATCTAATTTTTGCGCAAATGCCAGACCTCATGCCTTATGGATGCAATGCACAACTATTGTGGCACCTGAGAATTTTCTGCCATACATAACATAGCTGCTGTTATTAAGCTTCTGGAACATGCTAAAAGAGCAGCACTGTAAAGAGGGAGCAACCAGAAATCAGCTGGTGCAGAAGACAAGTGTATTCATCCAAGTGGTATAAATTATAAATCCCATTGCATTTTGAGCAATAAGCTCTTCATCAGAGGTCTGTCTTGAAATACATAAGAAATTATGGTCAACAATAAGAGTAGTGATATTTTTCCTTCTAGCAGATACACATAAAATGAAGATTTCATGCAATAAAATGTGCAATAAATACCAATAATCTTACACAGGAACCATAGCGTATTCCATGCAAAACTGGAGCAGGGATAGGGAGTAAGAGATTGAATTATACATCCAACAAAGCAAATGAAAGGAACAAAAGGTTATGGCCAGTTTCTTTCAGAATAAGAAAGGACCATCTTTCCTGCCTGTAGAATTAAGCATCTGAACCTAAGAGTTGGAACAAGGCAGAGAAAAGAGAGAGAGAGAAGAAAGCAGCAACAGAACCTAAATTTTGAGGAAGAAAAAGAGCTGAACTCAAAGAAGGCATAACCTGTGAAATTTTGATGAGAGAAGAAGATTCTAGTAGCAGTTTGTAATAGAAATTTCAGGCAAAATTGTCAACTGAAGACTGCTGGCCTCAGGAAGTATTGGCACTTTGGAAGAAGGCATCTAAATTCTCCTTTTTGTCATTGCCATGAAATCCCTGAAGGGAGAGAAAGCTTCAGGTGAAGACAAAGCCCAAATGATACTGGTAAATTTCTGACAAGAGTGGGACATTTCAGTTTTAAACCCCAAAGATATTCTAGGAGGGCTTGATGGCGGTAGAAGCCAGTAGTTCGACTTGCTTTGCAAGGGTTGTGATTTAATCCATAAGGGATTTTTAGTTCACCTGGTCATAAGTGATTCCGATGGCCACTTTTTGCTTTCATTATGCAATATATGAATTGCTTCAGGAATATTGTAACAAATTGGATATTTCTTGTTTGATTTTTGTGGGGCTTTCTTTTGGGGCTTTTAATGAAGTTTTAGTTTATTTGCTGGATAGGAATACATTTGCTTCTAAGTAGCAAAGAATTTACACCCCTGGCATACTCAGTTGGTTTTTAGTTGGTATATAACATTTTCCAGCTTCTTGATTCAATTATTATTGGTTTTATAATTATATTTTTGAATCAGGCTCTCTTTTATCATCACTAAATGATACTTGGTGAATCATGATGATTCTTGGGCCTGACAAGGATCATACCTACTCTATCAAACTCTTTTCATAATTAATATTGATCTTAAAATATCAACTGCAGTTGACTGCCAGATTGCAACAAGTTATTGCAACACTAGCTCAACCAGATCAGGTGAGGTTTATTAAAAACAGAAAGGTGGACAGATGAGCTTAGATTATAGCTATTGATTAGATTGCTTTGGAACAGGCATAGTTGCCTTTCTTTTCTTTTTTTTTTTTTTTTCCTTTCTTTAGATGCTGAAAAGTTCTTTTACAATATTCACTGGAAATTCATCTTTGTTACAGTGAGAAATTTTAGCTTTCCTATAGGTTTGCTGAATAGGACAAAATGTTTCAATCCCAAGAGCTAGAGTTATAACCAGTAATTTTTTACAAGAGGTACTAGGCAGGGATATCCATTTTCTCTATTGATACTTGATTTATGTTTGGAATCATACTTATACTAATAATAAATACCCTTTATTTATACTAATAGAAAGAATAGTGGCATACATGGATTTAAATACATGGATTTATACAGATTTTAAAATTATTCCTTTATGCTTATGA